CCTGTGGCCTCGTTCAATTTTGTTTCGTTTCGAGCTATTTCCAAAACGTGGCGGTATCTGTACCCGAGGCAAAGGACTTTTATTTCATAAATCTCAGTAAAATAAGTAAACCAAGATGTTTCTAAAATAGCTGTTGTTACGATGTTGTTTCGTTAATTATGTAATTTATTATGTAATTTCGTTTTTTTACGTAATTATTTAAATAGTTCACAACCGTAGGTTATAATCTATAAAAGGCGGACCGCCAGAACAGCTAGTCGCTGCGTATTGCCTTGCAGTTTTACGATTTTAAGTTTTGGAAATATATTTTCTTATTATATTGTAATTAATAATGTTAGACAATGATTAAAACTAAATATTTCTGTGTAACCTTAGAGGAATAGTCAATTTAATCTACCATCGGTAACTGTTTTCTAAATGTACTGTTTTTCATTTTTCATATCAGTTTAATATAGTGGTATTACATTAGATTCCATTACAAATTAATGATATTTGTTAATACTCCATGTTAACTTATATTTCTAAAGCCACCACAACGTTTGACCTTGATTGCTTCGTGCTATTTCACGAAATAGTACGATAAATATAAGGCCGTGTTTAAAAATTAGTTCCCACGTTTCCTGAAATAGATCGAGACGCGCCGTGATTGGTTGTTTGTTTTTTATTGTTAACCCAGATTAACTAATTAACGGGCTTATATTTGAGTTTTGCGAAATTTACGAAATATTTCCAGAAATATTTCGTAAAACATTTCGTGAATAGCGTAGAGGCTGTTTTAGAGTGTTATTATTTTAAAGTATGATCCACGCGCAACGACTTATCGCACGATAACATTGCAGAGCAGATAAAACGTAGAGTGTGGTAGTGGTTCTATATTGTATCACCTTGTATAGACCCTTTGTTCGTTAACCAATTTGTTTATTTCAGTTTGGAGTTTTCCAAAAATCTAACCCACTGCGAGGCACTGATAAAAGTTAATGACACCCTGACAATGACAGGGGACCAGACAGCTATGATAAACAAACTTCTAACTCCTTCAGCTTGCCTCCATCTTGGAAATATACCAAACAGTTTGACATATGAGAACATTCCATCTGGAGGTTTCATCGGGTGTATGTCTGACTTAAAAGTACGTATATATAAATACAAACATAAATACAATAAAAAAACTTGTGATAAAACAGACGAGCCATTAATTCCGGAAGGCGTTTTTGAGATTTTTTTTCCCACCCTACTACTTTACTGGTGAGATGTCGTGTGATGGGTATTGGCCCCTTTTTGGCTTGACACCTCCCCCCTTGTCAACCTCACGTAATTAATGGTTGCCACCCTAACATAATCATGATATTTTACTCAAAATTTAGCCAAAGTCGGCTGGCTGTCTAATAAATAAGCTGTGATATTATGTTGCTGTTTTTTTTTATGATATTTTATTGAAGTAGTGATAATAATAATAATTTTTAAGGTTCATGGGAGGAACGTATACATATATAAAGACGCTGAAGATGGTTACGAAATATCCGAATGCTCTTCTTTAGCCTGTTTATCGAATCCCTGTAAAAACGGAGCATCCTGTATATCCTCAGGTGAAAAATGGAGATGTCGATGCAAGAACGGGTAAAATTATTACTATTTTTTTTTTAATTACCTATAATAGTTCATATCAAATATACTTTTAGTCACGTGATTAAGTTTGACCGGCACAGCGTTGCCTACTATTACATATTTTCTTTTAATGAAAATATTTTAAGAAACAAAAATAAATTAACTTTAAATATATAAACAATTATTATTTACATCCACAAAACTCACCTTCTTAACAGCACTTAAGGGCACTTAAATATTCTAATAGAATTGCGATGAGTTTTTTACGGCTATTAAGCTACCTTGTACACTTCGCACTAAAAGAGGATCTAAAAAGAACAATGTTCGACTGCAACGTATGCATTTTTAAGCAAACTATTACTATACTATTTATTTAAACCAAAAACTCACGTTATACAAAACTAAAGTGTCAAACTTTACGTCAAAAAAACGTGTCAAACAGGAAGCATTTTAGGGCATATGTTCATAGGAACTTTTTTGTTTTTATTTTTTATCTGTAATCACTCACCAAAGACACTATTTTTTGACACTAGATCTTCACTCATTAGACCGTTACACTATTTTTTTGACACCCTGTGTATATTACGTTCAATGGGTAATTACGTTCAATAAGGGTAAAACGTGATATTAAATTTATTTGTTTTAGAATACATTTTTACATTTACTTAAAAAAGCGACATGATTATGTGACTAAACCTTTACATTTTTTTTCGCATATTGATTTTAGGTTTTTAGGAAATATGTGTGTGAATTATCAATACGGTAATGAAATCCATGTTTATATGGTGGTACTTGTATTCCGTCTAGCAGTGAAGTTTACTTGTGTCTGTGCCCATACAGCAAACACGGACACTTTTGCGAGAACGGTATGATAAACATCTTTCAGCTACGGCTACCATGACATACGTTTCTGTAAAGCATGTATAAATAAATACTATATAGCATACAACGGCACCATATTTTTTTAACACCTAGTTTTTTGCGACAAATAATAATTTTAATTGATTTTGAATCAAGAGATGGAAATAAAGAGAATTTTGTATGTAGGTGCATACCTTCATTACTATGAAAGTATGAATGTACGTTTTAGCACTTAATATAGGTATAATTCAAAATTATTCTAAGGGCAGTTCACAGACGCTCAGTTCTTTAGCACAGGCTGACTGTACAGTTCAGTTTGCGCAGTTTGTACTACTGACTGTAGCACGCACAAGCAGTTTTACAGCACAGTTTTGACTACAGGGAACATCCTGGACTTTAGGTAGTATTTTTTTTGTTAGTATTTCTTTACTTAAGCATTAAAAAGTGTGTTTATTAGCTAAGTGTCGTAAGTTACTAGTTAAATAGAAAATCATTTCAATAAAATCTTATTCACTTCTTATCACTTTAATCTTAGTCACAACAACTGGACAATTTTTAGCAAAAACGGTTTCACATACAGGGTGACAATTTGAAAACGAACAGTATTTAATATTGCCTCTACCGATGATAGTTAGTAGGCATTTGTTGTCGTGTTACTTTCAACCCCTTGACCCCTAAAATTTTAAATAGCAACCTCTATTTCTTTTACCCATTTTTGTATTTCTTATAGAATTCTACATAAACTGCATTATTTTTTTGAGAATTTTATAAGGAACACGAAAATGGTAAAAGAAATAGGGATTGCCATTTAAAATTTTAGGGCTAGGTGCCCTGGGGGTGAAAGGGTTGAAAGTAACACGACAACAAATGCCTCAGAAATTGTCCCCCTTGATATGTAAATTGACGTATTCCGCCGAATTTTCATACTATCATGGGTAGAGGTAATATTAAATACTGTTAATACTCGTTTTCAAATTGTCACACTGTATATTTGCTAGAATTTGCCAAGTTCTCCTACGACGTGCTTAAGTATTTCAGCTGTATTTCTGTCGTTCCCTGCTGCTTTTCCATTTTTCACGCTTGTTTTCCTTTAATTATTTTCACTTTTTATAGAAACATTAGAGTTTTAGAGTTTACACATAGGCGACTTAATATAATAATAATAATCAAAAAATATCCTAGATAGA